TTTTATATCTGCCAACAAGTTTTACAGTTTGCAAAACTATGTTAACCTGCATAGCAATACCTACAATGCATGCACTGTTTCTGATCAAAGGCTGAATTTCCAAATTTCTTGGTTGACATCATGCATAAAATGCATCCTGAAGGCCTGTTTGGCAATAACTTCAAAGAACGAAATTTCAATGCTGTTCACACATTCGCCCTGGCAATTTACTAGACAAGTCCTATATATATTTCACTACTAGACAAGTTCATAAATTTCATGCTTGGTGCTGAAGATACAAAAGTAGATTATTCGGAAGCTATTGCCGGTACCTGTGCGAGCTTTCCCACTGCAAGAAGCAGAATTAAGAAGCAAGTTCACAATTTAAATGAGTTTATTTCACTCAGCATACACTGAAACACCTGCATTTGGCAGGCACATTCCCGTTAACATTTCCAACATTGAATGTGCAGTCATTATCAGTGATGGAATAGACATTCTGATTTTTGTGGCAGGAAAAAGGCTGTTATGAAGTGGAATTTGGTGTGAGGGGGGCAGATGGCAAAATATTTTATGCAACTCCTCGAGTTTAAAACATAATTTAAAGGGGTGGCGACGCCAAACATCGAGGCAATATATATAACAAGTCTGTCGTGGCTTTTCTCTGTATGCAAGGACACTCCACACAAAGGGTCCGACGCAACAAACGTTCAAAATATAGTTCAATTCACTTCCAAACGGTACCCAAATGCTCATTCTCTCAATCACCCATCACTAGCGCGGCCGACACTGACGACGTTCTGTAGGAAGGGCAAGGAAAGTTGACCTTCCTAGAAAGTCGCCCGCTGGACTTGCAGTAACGAACGCAGCTGTATACAATCGCAGAAAATGGTATTATACTGCTGCCGTCCCTTGACGATGTTGCCGACTAAGTATAGCAACTGATTACACACAACAGCTTCACTAAGGGGCACCTATCGCACGTAGCAAACTTCAGACTCTGTGTTGGCGGCGACTGGAGAGCGTACGGAGAATGAAGTGGCCGCTAACACGATGGGGGTTAGTGATAGCGCCACGGCGTGTTGTGGCCGTTTCGAGAACCAAAAAAACTAAACAAGCAAAAGCAAATCTGGCGACAGGGGGAGCAACGCCATGAGCAGGTCGGAAGTTTATATAGCAGGTCGTGGACAAGTGTCAGTGACCATAATGTGAAACTTCATGGTGAAAAAGAGAGCTAGCATGACTGCTACACAAGAAATAAATCACAACAGAAGATTTCATTCACCACTACCTTTTCTTTATTTAATGAACTATAAACATGGCTGTCAAAGGTAAAACAAATATGGTGACATGATATTTTAAAGGGACACTAACAAGCAAAACGATTTCACATATTACTAAAGTACAATTTTAAAATCCTCAAAACACCCCTTTTATCACAACATGACGCTTCGTAAGGGAGAAAATTTGTGAAAAGAAAATGTGGGTGTAGACGAACGCCACCTTAAAGAAGCACTGACATAAAATTTACTCGTGCCAAGATTTTTGCGTCGGCAAGTAGCTATAGACCCCGTAGCAGCAATTCGCGACCTAAAACGCAACTGAAGGATGAATAACGATCACTTTCATTGATTTCTATCACTGGTATCTCGCACACTTCAAAACGGTTGGCAATCCCACCATTTCTAATGCTGGGAGCACCAGCAGTGGCGCTACCTCAAGGTCACCTCCAAATCCCGCCACAGCTGACCACTTCTCCACAGAAAAGAGTGACGTCAGGCTCAGCTGCTCCGCAAACATTTCATCCGCTAGGCGGACACATTCAGCCTCGCCTTTTCTCCTGCATTGCTGTCATCGCCGTACGAAGTGTCGAGTCAGCTTCAATACGATCGTCTGGTGTTGGAATCCCCATGATTCGCGACGTTGCGAATTATTTTTGCTTCGATCAACCTTTTGTAGAAGAGTGATTCCGAAACGAACGTCGTTCCAAACAGCACTGCAGAGGTGCCCGAGGATGCATGCTTCAGCCATGTTCGCTCGTGTGTCTCAGCTATATTGGTGTGTTTTGGCGTGCAAAGCATTCAGGTATACGCAGAGGGGTCAATGCAATATAGCTATCGCGAATGAGCATCAGTGGAGAAATAGAATATGTTTCCTGCTTGCCAGGTTCTTTTTCGCGCCTCCAGATGGCACCATCTATCCAACCTCTCGCGGTTACCACGGTATTACCACTTTTACGTGGACGCAAAGTCAAATTCAACGATACCTGCATGTTACTTGTCATCGACGGTATCCGACTATACGCTGTTCCACTTTTGATAGCTTGGTCATGCTGATGGGTAACACATACGTGATATGAAAAGACACTCTCATTGCACTTTTTCTGTGCGCCGAACTAGACGACTGCAACTCGCCTACAACTCACAATTCCGTGGCATGCTGATCGACAAGCACACGTTTAATCATGCTTTTTTTTTAGCCGTTCTTCTAAAGGTGGTTTCTATCTTGATAATGTCACAAAATCATTCAAACCGGCTGCGACGAGCGAGTGCGTTTCTGCACTTCGGCGCCACGATAAGAACACTCGGATCGTACTAGTCGTCGCTACTAGGGCATCGTCACTCAGGATGGTATTTGTGGAATGTATCACACCGAACACATAGCACTAGTGTTGATGTCGCAGGGCAGTCTATTTTCCCGTTTTTTCTCTTTGGCTTTTCTACGCTGTTTGACATTCAATTAAAATAACTTCCACTGCGACGGATGCCGTTCAAATTTGGCCAAAAAGACCTTTGCATACCAAGCTATCTAATGATGGGCACATCTTGATCTTGAAATTTGATGTCAGTGCTCTTTAAGATCCCCGCACCAAATACCGTGACATCATAGATTTTGAAGGCGTCTACTGGGTATTACGTAGGTTCTAGTCAATAATAATGAAAAACATCATGTGTGAGCACCATAGACCTAGCGTACAACGTCTCAGAGAATTTTATCAAGCCAATGTAGCAAAAATAAATACATTTTAAAATTTTTGATGTCACAGACAGTATTTTCGGCGTGACATTTATAAATGAAACTTCGATTGATTGATATGTAGTGTTTAACGTCCCAAAACCACCATATGATTATGAGAGACGTCGTAGTGGAAGGCTCCGAAAATTTCGACCACCTGGGGTTCTTAACGTGCACCGAAATCTGAGCACACGGGCCTACAACATTTCCGCTTTTATCGGAAATGCAGCCGCCGCAGCCGGGATTCAAACCCGCGACCTGCAGGTCAGCAGCCCAGTACATTAGCCACTAGACCACCGCAGGCAAGACTATAAATAAACCTTCAACCTGGATTTTAACCGCTAATAACGAACTTATGATAGTCAGACATTGGCATTAGAGTTCTCAGTTTGTCGATCAAAAGCAAGTCACCATTTCTCTTTGGTGTCCCTTTAACAGAAATCAATCACTTTTCAAGGAGCGTGACAGATTGTCAGGTGCGTTAGCTCTTTATTGGGAATAGCAAAATGATGTGTGGCCAACACATGTTACATGTTTTTTCTTAATCTGGTCCATCTTAATTTTCTGTGAAGTGGAGTGCAATGCCTAGTCTCAATCATTGTGTAATAGAGATTGAGATCAAACTACGTGTGCTACAGTATGTTGACAAATGGCAATAAGCGTATGTTCTTGATGAATACTTATGCTGCATTCAGTGCACTCAGGCGCATGTTAACACTACGTTGGCTATAGATGATCATACAATTCATGCCTCATGTCTAAGAGATCTGGAACACCACTACTTCAATACGTGGTACACATTCAGTGTGACGTTTTACCCTTCGACACTTCAAGTTTCGACTGTAACAAGTCTCCAGCTCATCCAACTGATGACTTTTTGGTGGAGGATCCCCTCGGCATTTGTATTGCATTTTTGTTTCAGCTGGCATTCTTACTGACACGAGTGCCTTTTTTATCACACATATCCCCTTTAACAAGGTCATTCTCCAGGCACAACTTATCATACTGGCACAGACTGCCATCAAAATAATGAAAGGAAAGAATTTAAAAGTATTTCCGAGAGGTTACGACAAGATTCAAGTGCACATTCTGAATGAGGGTATGCTTGTACTTTGTACTAGCAACAAATATAAAAGGTTTAAAAGAAATGAATAAAGTCATAACAACAGGGTTACGGTAAGCCCTAGGATTTGTTTTTGTAATCGTTTTAGTGATTTTGCCAACTGCTGTCCTGATGTCACATGGACAATAAAAATGTTAAATAGGAAAATACACGAAAATATCGGGGCACTTCAAGCAGCCGGCAAATTTTCCTTCAAGTGATTCCTGCCGGCACATGTAATTTCACAAAAATTTCATAGAGCCCAATCCAGAGCGGAAATCAGTGGCTTGTGAACGTCGCTTCCGTGGGGGACATCGAGATAACGCAAGGCTGAGACGAGCAGTCACCAAACGCTGCAACAAACTGTTTACGAAGCAGACTGTAATGTACTACAGCGTAAACCACGTAATCTACCAAAAAAGACTAATTGAAATGAAAAAAATTGCGTCGCGTAACTGATCCCTCGTATCTACTGCTTAGCAAATCTGTAAACAAAAGTCAGAACACGCCAACGTAAACGTGCCCAATGGACGCGCCTCATTTACACAGCGCCCTGATGTAGATGCTGCTCTTTAACGCCGAGTGCCGCTCCATCTCATCGACGGCGCTCAAAACTAAGTGCTTAGGACGTAGAGCATGGACCGAGACGGGGGCACTCCATTCAATACGGTACTTCAGCGCGGTCAGCACCCCTTCGATCTCGAACCGACGTCGCATCGAGCTCCGTGCGGGAATCCCCAGCGACACACTGCTATGCACCGCACACGAAGTTAGACTGCCTTTCTGACGGTGCCGAAACGGGCGTGGCAACCAGTTATCGCAAGAACAATGCCTATGGTAACACGATCTACGAGGTGCGTCTAGTGACGGTTGGGATTACCTGCCGCTGCGACGTCAAACCTACCTGATATTCCTTGACAGCGGAGCTTAGGCAAGGATACCGTTCGCTTATCCATCGGTAGAACTTCGGCACCCCCATTCTTGCGTGCGGCTTGTTTAGCTCGGGATTTTACACACTCATAAAGCCAATAAATCGCGTGTGCTAAAATTTACAATTACGCTGAAAACAGAGAACAGACACAGAACAGACAAATCCTTGGTTGCTGCGTTTCTGCAATTTGACTGTTTTCTAAAATTCAAAACAAAAACTCAAACAACAATTGAAGAAATTATTAAAATAAAATAATTAAGTTTATCAAAACAATATTTAGTCAATATGCAACAACAATTATTTTCTTTATTTTCTGCGTGACAGTAACGCGGACAGTTGCTTGTCGTCTTGCGCAGACCTGCCCGCCAGGCGAAAACACGCTACGTGCTTACGTGTTCGTTTCAGCTGTTTGAGAACCCGTTTACGAACTCTCTCTCTGCTAGTGGTATTGCAATCACAAGCTCGCAATCATGATTGACATACCCTTTTTGACGCCGCTCTTGGACAGAATTCCTACATACATGGTACGTTGAATAGGCCGTGGCTCTGTTTACAGCAAGCCGGCTGTTGCGTGTGTCGCGTTGGTGCAAATGGTGCTCCCTGTTTTGCAGGACTTCGAGGGACAGAAAGCGGCGGAGAAAATATTTCAAGTAGTCATAATTGCCTTTGCGGTAAGTGGGCTTGCACTGACAGTTTCATGAATGCAAGGTGCGGCTTTACTACGAACGGAAACCGCGATTCAACTAGCCTTATGCGGACGTGTCATCTTCGTTTCGTCGATAGTTGAGGTGCGGAAGAAGTAGCTGAAAAACAAAAGTTATAGGTCACAGTTCCTTTTTTTTTTCTTCAGGTACGATTTAGTGTGCATAGTGTGACTATATTGTGATGCTATATTGTGCTAAACACAGTTTGTATCAGTGCGGGTAAGTCGAACCGCAGAACGGGTGAATGAAATGCTGGCTTTTCGCGGTAGTGAAATGTAACTGAGGCATTGTCACGTTTTGTATGCTAGTCGAACTGGCGGCGTGAACTAGTTCTTTTTACTCTGCCGTGGGAGCTTACGCGCGAGGAGCTCATTTTTCTTGTGTCGTCTTTTGCTGCAGTTTGCCGGACTTGCTTGGGGATATATGGTGCAGCAGTTCTCCTACACTGTCATCAGCCTCGGCATTGGTTTCGTCATTTCCTGCCTGGTAAGCAACCTGCTCGTTTGGCGGTGTTCATGTCAACTGCCTATCCCGGCTGTGGCGGCTGCATTTCCGATGGAGGCGGAAATGTTGTAGGCCCGTGTACTCAGATTTGGGTGCACGTTAAAGAACCCCAGGTGGTCAAAATTTCCGGAGCCCTCCACTACGGCGTCTCTCATAATCATATGGTGGTTTTGGGACGTTAAACCCCACAAATCAATCATGTCAACTGCCGCTTACATCTAGGGGCTTTACTGCCGCTTCGATTGGCAGCCGGTGCAGTTGTGGCGATTCCGTGCCTAGTTGCGTGCAGTACTGATCCTGCGTGAAACGATTGCCGACGTTGCCAGGGAGATAATGATTGGGGCAGTAGGACTTATGCAATGATTAATACTTCTGTGAAATCGTTGTGTTGGATCTCGTGCTTGTAATATTTTTGAGAACTAAACATGAGTTGTTCTGTTTGATGTCCAGTAACTTTTTTAGCTTGGTATTTGAGTTATGTTTATAATTAAACATCGCCAAGAAAAGACAGCAGTGGTCAAGGAAAAAATAAATTGACTCGTTTTCACTGAGGCCTATTGCATATATATATATAATATATATATATATATATATATATATATATATATATATATATATATATATATATAGATATATATGCTAATCCAAAGCATGTCTCATGCTGCCAGCACTCGCTCAGGCATCTATATGCCATTGGTTCTGAAATTTCTGCTTTCCTTGCCTACCTATCGAACAACGTGCTCTGCGTTGCGCACGCATCAGAGTGGCACTAAGCAAGCAAAACTTTTGCTCCCCATAAGAACCCAAAACGCTTGGTGGCGCTGAAACGCTGGACAGGCAGCGCCATCTCTGGCAGAAAAATGTAAATGTACGCCGCGCGTTTTCTCTTCTTTCTGCCGCACTGCCACTCATTTCCGTGAACGGGCAGAGCTCTCGCGCTGCACTTGGAGCGCTGCGCACCACTTGAAAAAAATCTCCTATCTAGAGACAGTCACTTTGAAAAGCGAACGTAATCAAATCAGAAAAGCTTGTTCATCACGTTTACGTTGTGGAGCAGACGACAAATACGCCTTACTTAACATAACATGCATTTCCAAAGTCCACGGCATTACCATGTACGATAGGTCGAAGTACCCCTCCTTATTTCACACTTTAAGTATACCTCATGGCCTTTATGCAGTGCGAAGTGAAGCCACACTTGCAATCAATGTTCTACATTGTCTGCAATGAATAACATGATTGTTGTTTCGATGTGCATGCTGGATGTAGCAGACACGTACTGTCATGAACGAACTTTTGCGGTGTGCGAAAAAGAAACAAAGATGATACGGCCATAGCACTAGCAATCGTTATAAGTTGATAAGGTTAAAGTCTGACTAAGCTGTCAGGCAGCTAGCTTAGCTTTAACTGCTGTGAAGCAAGTTTAACTGCCATCATTGTTTTTTCTTATTGTCGCGTCGTGCTTGCACTCTCTATTTTTTGAAAATATCGACTGTACAGATATATAAGGCCTGCTGCATGAATGGGGCTCAAAGTGAGAGGTGTTGAATTTCAGGCACAATGTGATATCAGGTGCCTGATGAGTTCGCGCAACTAGCGCACACTGGAAGCGCTCTACAGAGTGTAAGACGCATACATGCGGCGCGCGTGAAAGAAAACCACACATCTTCGAATCTAATAAGTGCCAGTTTGATTCAGTGACTGGAATAAATACCATTATAATGAAGCGACAAAAATATAACTAACCAGCAATGCGATGTCAAATTTTGCTGAAAATACACAGGTGTTCGTTCCGGCACTATGATGCAGCCTTCCTGATGCGTGAATTGCAGGCAGCGAACCTTTCACAATGTGCACAGTTCTGTTGAAAGCAACTAACAGCGCAACGCTAACCGCAGTATGACTTGCATCCAACAACGACAGCTACGTCTCACAGTCGCAAAGAATGAAAACGCAAAATTGTTTCAGCATACAATCATAACTGGGCTTTCACAATTAGAGAAGACACCGAGCTGTCATTACTCAGTCGTTGCATGGACGTGTTACGTACTGGTTCAGGTAGTCAAAACAAATGATCTCAAGTGAATTGAAACAATCAAAACTGAAGGTGAGACAGAGCTAGAACTTACTTTATTCTTAAGTGCTGTTATCCACACTTGTTTTCTTTCTCTCTCGTACGACTTGTCTGGCAACCAACGGTTTTACAAGTGGATCCAGTGTCTTGGTACTGTCTGCACTCTCGTGGCACAGAACAATACTTCAGACCTTGCTTATGCTTCCGTGTGGTCGCTCCTGTCATTGCGGAAAAGCAACGTCAAACTGCGAGCATCTTGTCCCAGCACATCAAGTTGATGGCTCTAGAATGCGTTCTGCACGTGCTCCCGCTGTGGTGAAACACATTGAGTCGCCTGCGCCTTCCGCTATGCATATCCCCAATTTCCCTGAGCTTGCAGCCAGGGCCGCAGCATGGCGTTGTCTTTGTTCCGCAAACTTGAGATTTGGGTCCTTCTGACCTTTCTTGTTGTGAGGGTGCACTGGGTTTATTTTACAGTAGTACTAAGGGCACCTTTAAACTTATCGCAAAATTGCTCAGACCTATTCACGTCTTGTTTTCACTGGACTGCTCTGTTCGATCAACTTGTACGTCCATATGCCCATGCTGTGCTCTGGTTTTAAGTGGGCAACTTTAAGGGCCTGGAATCTCTCTGTCTTTGTCGTTTAGGGTAACGCAGGCAAAATCGCATGAAGCGTAGCAGTCTTCGGCATGTTGAGCACACACTCGCACCAAGGAGGAGTCTTCTTTTTCTTGTTCTTCGAGTGCCTTGATGATGATGATGTTAAAGGCGTCCTGCAACACCTTTTGAGCATGGCCAGAAAACGATTCCGATCGGTAGTAGAGGCACTCGATAACATGTGAGTCAAATATTATAGCGCAGCACGCTGCCTGGAATTCGCAATAAAATTTCAGTCAGCCAGGAATGGCTGTGTCTTCTCTCGACAAATGACTGAAAAAGCTCAAAAATCACTCTTTACAGCCATTCAACCAGCCATTGGCTGATTTGAGTATGGCGCGCTCTGTCGTTACAGGGATCGCTGCGACTTGTCCATGCGTGTGCGGCATGTATTCGAATAAAGAAAGAAGGGAGAAAACAAAGTGCGCATGGTCACGAGGCGTGCGAGACTTTTTTTTTTTTCCTCGTGCCATCCTTCCCTACTTTGCTTCCAGTGCTTTCATCGGGAAGAGGGAATACATTTGAAGGGTGCGCCAAATTTTTGTAACTCTACTCGTACTGGATGGATTCGAAAAGCTTTTGCGGCTGTGAATTCGTGAGGCGGTAAGCTTTTTCAGAGAATACATTGCATGGCTATTTCAAAAAGAATTGCAGGGCCCCTTTCAGGGCACTTTAGGGGCCTGGGCTGTCCTATGCTGTCGTATGCTGTTGTTGCTTAGCATAATGCAGGCAGAACCACTTATTGAAATAGACGAAATGAGATAGAAAGCGAGAAATAGAGAGACAACAGAAAGGTAAACAATACAAAGAGAAATAGAGATAGGAAGACAAAAAAGAACTGTTAGAAAGAGAGAAAACCGCAGAGAAACAAAGAAAGCTGCCCAGCTCTGCGCTTCGTCTAAGCTTGGTGCCACTAGCGTGAAGCCGCTCAAAACTTTTTTTTTTTGTATTTGGGGCCACTTTTTCCTCTCGGGTGCCTCTCTCTCTCTCTCCCAAATTAGGTAGAAAGTAATAATGTAGCTGAAAACCCTTGAGTGGTTCTGTCACCGTCGACAAAATAAAAAAGCCTGCGCTCAGTAAAGGCTTTAATGACAAGCTTTGTCAGCCATTACTGACAAGTCTCAGAGTCCTGATGGCGTTTCAGAACCTGCTCCTTTCTGTCATTGCTGAGAATGAGTAATGCCATGTTGGGACAGTTTCATATAGAACAAGTAAGCAATCATATCATCCCAGTAGTCTCCTGGCAGGTTTTAGACTGGAAGCATTGAAATCGTAAGCCCAGTCACAAGGTGCAATGTCAGAATTGCGTGATATATAATGCGTATGTACATACTGCCACCCCTCTCGAAATGAAGCAGGTTTATCGCGAATACCACTCGTCGAACGGGAGCAAGTTTTCTTGCTCCAAAGCTGACAATCCGCGTTTCGCTGGTAGATTCAGAGCAAGTTTGCATTTTCCACTGGTAGATTCGGAGCAATCCATTCCGCAAAGGAGTGTTCAGCGTGCTCCGTCTTGCGGAGGCGGATTTCGCTGGAACTTCGAGAATGCGTTGCCATCATTTCTGGTGCAGTCGGACAGCTGGGTTGCCCTTTTTGAGGCGGTCTAGTAACTCTGTGCTCTTGTTTACATTCCTAAAATTGGAAAGGGGTAGCCCTGCTTTCCACGAGACTGCGTGGCGACACAGTTGTCATTGAAATGTCGAGAGCAGAAAAGAAAATCGTTTACGGTACTGGTTTCGTGACGTATGCGTAAAAAACTTCTGGAGAGACCTCACGCGGGGCATTCACGTGTTCCACTCGCAGATCTTATATGGCACATTCCGAGTACTCGCTCCAAGGTTTCGGTGGCCACTCCGGATCCACCAGTGAAATTTGCCGTTAAAAAAAATGTTTGAGTGAAAAAAATGTTGTGAAAGTGCAGCCGGACCTCCATCATGTTACTCCAGGCACAGTACAGCGTTCACGTACAGTGAAAAAAGAGCAGCGTTTTCCTTGCACATGCCGAGAGTTTCATGTGGCTGATATTCCTGGTTTTCTTAGGAAACCACGATATATAGTGAAATTTTATTAGAGATCATGATACGAATACTCGTCTAGGTAAGTTACTTTAGTCAAGAACAATTTCTTGTTTTTTAATTAACCTGGTACAGCTACATTTGCTGAACAAATGCACTTTCTCTGTTATCAAGAATCACATAGGAAGGTTACATTTTTGAAGTAAGCTGCAGGCAAATGCTTGCTTCACGGGTGCTGCTAAGGCACGATTGCTGCAAAGGCATTGTGTGCTTTTACTCCAGAATTATATTTTAAACGTCCTTTACCTATATCCACTGGTCAGTGTCACGGACTCTGCTCAATCGCTGCTGTGTAGATTTCATAAAAGCTAGGATAGTAAATGTTCACATTTGTATTGTAGCTGTTCTGCTATCTCTGAAGTTTCAGCGTAGTAGACACGTTATTTAGAGGATTGTATAACTACTAACTGTTCGTACCGCTTATACACACTGTTTAAAATAGTTTCTGAGCCCACTTTGTCAGGGCACATTCCTTGTTAAGCCTGCATTTGAGTTGCTGTCAATGGTGTTTTGCTATTCGTGAGTGCTATCATCTCTGAGGTGGCCATGCATTTATTACTTTTGTAGCTTACGCTGCCTCCGTGGCCGGTGTACCGTAAGAACCCCCTCCCATGGCAAAAGGCGAGGGACGAAGCTGGCTCCTCGTCAAGCAAGTCTAGCAAGAAAAAGAAGTGATCAACGAAGGGCTTTCAACAATTTTTTTTTCTTCATTAAGGCTTTTCCATATTATGAGTGAAGTGGGGGGATGTGGTGTGTGTTCTTTATTAATAAATTATCCAAGACTGTCTTCAGTTCAGTGAACAAATATGAGGACACTGTTTGGAGAGGGTGTTTCTTTTTCTCAGCTTGTGCACACAGGGTCACAACTCGGCAGTGCACTGTGGCTCATAGCATGTCATCAATCCTTTCCTTGGAGTTGAAAAAATGAAAGAGCTTGTCAGTTCATGTACGAGCTTACATTCTAGACAAGCAGGCATGCTTTTCGCACCTAAAACATTCGTTGTTGCTCATTAAACATGCTTAGGTGAGAAAGATTACACAGGATACATGTCGAAAGGGTAATCTGTGCCTGGCCAATTGATATTTTCAGTGCCTTAAGCTTTACAGAGTCCTTATGCTAATACTTAAACATTATGTTTTGTCTTATGCATTCAAGGTTACTAGTATATTTTTTCAGTTGAATTTTCACATAATCATTTTATCTGGCACTATCAAGGCTTTTAAAAAAGCATTACAATGGCTGCCAGAATAAGCCAATTAGTTATATTTACTGCTCCATTAAACAGTATAACATGTTAAATTGATGAAAAGGGCAGACATTAGCAGTTTCTGCTTTGAACTTAAAACATGTTATCAGGGAAGATGAGGAGACGCAGAAACTACTGGCAGAGGTTTAATACCTAATAATATTACTTCAAGTGAGCAGTGTGCTTCGAAGAGCACTATAACAACAAACACAGTGAGCCCACATATGGGACCAGAGAAGATGACAAAGCATGGTTGTCTACTTTCTTCTTTTAGTACATTCCTCTTTGTGTGTGGATTTTCTAGAAAGTCTGCCCATCAGCGATGTCTATTCCGGCATATCTGGAGATCCCGGGTAGAGTGGTGCCTTGTTCATCTGCCATCGAAGGGCAAGCGGCGAACATCCGAATGTGGAGAGTAGCCTCCAGACATTTTGCAAACAAGCAAACACACATTCAACCGGTGTGGTAGATATGTTAAGAACTGTCCATTGAACTACCGTCCCATTTCTTTAACAAGCGTCCCATGCAAAATCATGGAACATGTCATCTACTCTCAGATTGTAAACTTTCTAGATTCCAACAACTTTTTTCACCCCAGCCAGCATGGTTTTAGGAAAATATTCTCCTGCGAAATGCAACTAGCAATATTTCTTCACGATCTGCATGCTAATCTTGACAACTTGCAAACTGGTGCAATCTTTCTAGATTACGCAAAGGCATTCGACACAGTACCCCACCAAAGACTAATGCTAAAACTATCCCAGTTAAACTTAGACCCAAGTGTACTAAATTGGATCAAAGCATTTCTAACTAACCGTTCTCAGTTTGTGCATGTCAATAATAAATCTTCTGCTTACCTCAAAGTAACATCAGGCGTACCTCAAGGTTCAGTTCTTGGCCCCCTCCTGTTTCTGATATACATCAACGACTTACCCCTCAGTGTATCCTGCAAAATCCGCGTGTTTGCAGATGACTGTGTAATCTATCGGACAGTAGCTAACACTTGCGACCAAAATCTTCTCCAGAACGATCTTAACCACATTCAAGAATGGTGCGATAATTGGCTTTTGTCTCTTAACCCTAACAAATGCAAACTTGTTACGTTCACCCGCTGTAAGAATCCTTTCATTTTTTCATATCATATTGCCAACATCCCTGTACAATCACAACCATCCTACAAGTATCTAGGTGTCGCATTGTATCGCGATCTCACTTGGAATGCGCATATTACTAATGTCATTTTATCGGCAAATAAAACTCTGGGCTTCTTGAAGCGTCACCTACGTCATGCACCAAAACGTGAAGTTGCTGGCATATCAATTCCTCATCAGATCGAAACTCGAATATACCTCCCCCATATGAAACCCGCCCCAAACATACCTCATTAACGACCTCGAATCTGTCCAAAATCGCGCCGTTCAATTCATTCACTCCCAGTACTCGTACGACATCAGCATTTCATTCTTGAAAGCACAATCCGGTTTATCACCCCTCTCTGTTCGCCGCCGTATCGCTACTCATAAATTTTTTTATTCTTCTCTCAATGCAGCTCCTTACATCCTCCCCCCGACATACATTTTACACCGCACAAGCCATCTATTTCAAGTGTCCCATTATCGCAACAGAGCTGCCACTTTTTCCGCTTCTTTTTTTCCCCCCGCCGTCAAGGATTGGAACGACCTTCCCTGCTCCATTGCTTTAACCACCTGCCCATCATCCTTCGCGACAAATGTTACAAATCACCTGTGCTGCGAAAATTAACATGTTCAAATGTTCCCTTTTCCTATGTATCCACCCCTTATGTAATACTACGCAGTGGGGTCCTTAAGGAAATAAAAATAATTGAATGAATGTCTGTTGATGTCAATGTACCGAGTCTGGATGCGGGTTGCCTTGGGATTTCACCGTTTGGCCAAATTTAGGCAACCTTGACAGAAGCTAACATTGACGGACAGTCTGTCGTAAGCATTTTAAGTGGCACCGAGTTGAGGTATTTTACTGTGCGATCAACTTAAATGCTGCTTGTTACAGAATTGGCGTGACAGCAAAGGATGATGCTGCAGTACTTGAAGGGGCCCCTTTAATTCTTTGAAAAAAAAAGAAGCAAAACGTATCTGGTTTTCAAGGAGCTTCCTTTTTTCTTTTTTACAGCGAAAGCTCTTATGAGATCAGAACACTGGTCACGCGCGGCGCCATAGTTCTCTGCCACCGCCGGTGTCCATAACGAGTATTGAAAGAAAAAGCTCAGTAAATAAACACCAATGAGACAATGGGATTTGAACCCTAGTCCACTGCGTGCCAGCCCAGCATTATCATTATCATCAGCCTGTCTACGTCCACTGCAGGACAAAGGCCTCTCCCATGTTCCACGAGTTATCCCTGTCCTGTGCTTGCTGCTGCCAATTTATACCCGCAGACTTCTTAATCTCATCTGCCCACCTAACCTTCTGTCTCCCCCTAACCTGCTTGCCTTTTCTGGGAATCCAGTTAGTTACCCTCAATGACCAGCGGTTATCCTGTCTACGCGCTACATGGCCGGCCCATGTCCATTTCCTCTTCTTGATTTCAACTATGATATCTTTAACCCCCGTTTGTTCCCTAATCCACTCTACTCTCTTCTTGTCTCTTAAGGTTACACCAACCATTTTTCTTTCCATTGCTCGCTGTGTCGTCCTCAATTTAAGCTGAACCCTCTTTGTAAGTCTCCAGCTTTCTGCTTCGTAGCTAAGCACCGGCAAGATACAGTTGTTATATACCTTTTTCTTGAGGGATAGTGGCAATCTACCTGTCATAATTTGAGAGTGCTTGCCAAATGTGCTCCACCCCATTCTTATTCTTCTAGTTACTTCAATCTCGTGGTTCGGCTCCGCGGTTATTACCTGCCTTTAGTAGACATAGTTTTTTACAACTTGAAGTGCACTATTACCTATCTCGAAGCGCTGCTCTCTTCCGTGGTTGTTGTACATTACTTTCGTTTTCTGCAGATTAATTTCAAGACCCACTTTTCTGCTCTCCTTGTCTAACTCCGCAATCATGAGTTGCAACTCGTCCCCTGAGTTACTAAGCAATGCAATGTCATCGGCGAAGCGCAGGTTACTAAGGTATTCTCCATGAACTCTTATCCCTAACTGTTCCCCAGCCCAGCATTATACCACTGGGCAACGTGGGTGCTTGGGACTCATTTCTAAACTGGCCTTACAGGTTTGATGTCAGAAAAGGAATCGCGGTATTATGAGTAATACAGTGTTTTAAAACATCAAAGGAACAGCCAGGCGTTACACAATCCGAATCGCGTAACGAGTGGATCGTTCAATGCATTAGAAGACCGCAGTAGATTTTTTCATGATGGCCGATCCTTCTGACCCCCATGCTCAACATCAATCTGACACTTGTTGCGACAGCGCTATTAGGTCGATGATTGCTTTCAACTTAACGCTGCAGCACACTGACAAGCTCCATCAGGTTCCGTTGTGCTACATCGACGTTTTTGACCTCAGTGGCCGTCCATTGAGGAAAGCTACTGGTATGACACACTGCATAAACACTGGTGATGAGCATCCTTTTCATAGGCGTCCATATCGGGTGTCGGCGGCCGAGCACCACGTTATTCAAAGTGAGGTTGACAAAAAGCTCGCCAGAGACATCATTGAACCATACTGCAGTCCTTGAGCTTCTCCTGTCGTGCTAGTTTGCAAGAAAGACGGTGCATGGCGTCTCTGCGTCGATTATCGACACCTAAACAAAATTACCAAAAAAGACGTGTACCCTCTGTCACAAATATATGATGTTATTAATTGCCTCAATGTTTCCACTATTTCTTCTCCATAGATTTTCGTTCGGGCTATTGGCAGATTGAAGTAGATGAAATGGAACGTGAAAAGACGACATTCATCACCCCAGATGGCCTATATCAGTTCAAGGCCATGCCCTTTGGCCTTTGTAACGCTTCAGCCACCTTCGAACGTATGATGGACTCCCTGCTCAGAGTAGTCAAATGGTCCACCTGTTTGTGCTACTTGGATGTTGTCGTTTTTCTTTTTTCAGCAATATTTGAAATTCATATAGAGCGCCTCTCAGCCATCTTGGGCACCTTCCGTCACGCTGGCCTGCAGCTCTCATCCATATGTCACTTCGGATACCACCAAATCCTGTTACTTGGCCATTTAGTAAACACCAACGGTGTACACCCAGACCCGGCGAAAATCAGCGCCATGAAAAACTTTGTCTCACGATTTCCGGCGGATGTACGTACGCAGCTTTACCGGACTATGTTCCTACTTCTGACGCTTCGTGGAAAATTTTGCGCATATAGCGAGGCCTCTTATGTAGCTCCTCAAGCAAAATGACCAGTTATCGTGGGGCTCCGAAGAGGCTTCTGCGTTCTCAACTCTCGTCGGTCTTCTCACTACTCCTCTGATTCTGGCACATTTCAACCCTGCTGCCCCTGCGGAAATACGTACAGATGCAAGTGGACATGGCATTGATGCAGTGCTCGCTCAGCAACAATGTGGCCATGATTACGTTATTGCATACGCCAGTGGCTTTTATTCGCCCCTAAACATCATTATTCCATCACA